CCGTCCTCCGTCAACACTACTACATTTTTCATTGATCGCACAGTCAAAAAGTGCCGTTTTAAGCATTTTAATGTGCGATTTTTTGGTTTAATTACCGTCTTCCTTTGTAATAGCGCGAGGATTCTAATTAAGACTTCACGCCGAGACGACATGCACCAGTTTATGGTTTTAGTATTGGTATAAAATAATTGACATTAAAATTAATAGAGCGCTGTAAAGTTATATGTTATGAATAGGTTTATAAATATGAAAGGATGTTCTTCAAATAATATCAACAGAAATTTGATTCAATAACCAAAAAATGTTGATTCACATCGATCGCTCCAATTTCGCTAAGTAATTCTGGCTTGATAAGCAAGGAAGAAATGCATACATACATGTAAAATCGAGAACATGCCTTAACGACCCTCTAAAATTTATTCCTGTCCTTGACAAATGAGCCAATCTGCTTTTCTTCCAGTAAAACCTTCTTTGTAGTTATATTCTGATAGGAAACCGAGTGCGTGTCAAAAGCTCGGGATTGGCCCGGGGGTGGGAAATGCCCGGCCCCAGGGCAGTGCAACATTTGCAAATGCCCCACCCCCGGGACTGACAAGGCGGGCATATGCCCCGCAGTTGCCCGGGGGGGGGCGGGGCTGGGCGCAGGTGGAATTGACTGATGCATAAGTGTACCGGAGTGTTAGCTCTAGCATTAGGCTGCCGGTATCCGTTTTAACACCGGAGAGTAGAGATATACAAGACCAGTTCTGGCCCCTCAAGTTGCAAAACAAATATAGTGGAATGGAGCTGGTGCAAGGGAGAATGTGGATCAAAGTTGTTCGCCTGTAAAACAACACACTGCTATTGAACCCAACTACACATCTGGAAGGGGACAGTGTGAAACAAAGTTTTCTTTCTACGGAAACAACTCAGTGACAATGTACCGCCCACTTGTACACCTGAGAGGAGGGAGAAAGACGACTGAAGTGCTTTGAAGTTACTTGTCCATTAATGGATCGCAACACCATCATGCCCATTTATACACCTACCTCACCGTGGAACAAAGTTTCCGGATTTGTTATAAAGCACAAAGCGCTAATGATCATCCATCCTCACTCAAGGAAACCCTGTATCGCAGGATTGGCCTTCAAACAAAATTAGTATTTCATATGAAGGAAACTTACCTCCTGTAACTGCCTTTAGTTCCGTCTGTGTGACTGCTGGTGGAAGCTAAAGACGGCCTAAAAGATGAATCACGGTGAGCCCTGAGGGTAAAAGAGAGATGACCTAAGTAGGACTTCATGAATAGTCTTCTATCTTTATTTCTTCTTTCTGCTAGGCTGAGAAACAAGTGAACGACATGGTTCGTACAACTTCAGACAAACGAACTTCAAGGACTTTTCAAGGATTTTTCAAGGGCAATTCACTGTTTAAGGACTAAGATTTATTCAATAAATCGCCATTCTTTAACCCCCTTTTGAACACATTATTGGCTAAAACACGTCACGGAGTCATTTACGATTTTTACTTCTTCAGCCATGGTTGATCACGTTATTTTATACTACTTTCCGCAACAACGTTTTGTAAAGTGACTGGGTATGACTTGCAATTGCATCTGTGGTACAGAAACAGTATCTAAAATAAAGTAACAAAAGTAAGATATCACTCATGCATAAAAATGTTTTTAGACAAAGTAGTGAATTTCAAGGATTTTTCAAGATTTAATAAAGAAATCAAGGACTTTTCAAGACAGCCTTTAAACTAGTTCCAGTCCTACTTCGCATCACAGCTGAACCATAGAGCGCGTATGAGCGTTTCAACGCCCTAGCTTCTTACGCTTTGGTATTTATCAGGTATATTGCGTTATCCAGCTTTGTAACAACTGGGGCCTGGTGTCACAAAGTCTTATCTCATTTAATCTCTAGCTTTTTTTTCTATATAAAGAATATATTTTATAAGAATATCGGGGCTGAAATTTGCAAAATTTAACAATATTTTAAGAATAAACCCGAGGCTGAGATTTCGAAAAGGATGATTCTTTTGAGTGATGAAAATCTAAAAATATATTTTTAACTTAGCCTTATCAAATTATTGCTTCCTCCCACTGCAAAAATACCCAGCAAAACGACGAAACCTGCATTGGTTATAGCCCAATGTTTTTTGCTAAAGACACTTCGATGAACGGTACATGAACAATCGATCTCTGAAACAGTGACATGCATGAAATTTCTTCAGTTCTCGCGGAAGTCGAGGACTGCAGCTCATTCGCTACGTATAATTTTCAACCCCTTTACCAGTTATCTTAAGTGATTCTAAATAGTGTTTGACAGCAACTCGACACCTGATCATTTGAAATACACCGGGCACAAGTTATACATGTAATAATGGTGGTTTTTAGGGGGCAGGGGAAGAAACGGATTTGACACCTTAATAGTGAAAAACGCACATTTTCAACAAATTGGCTGCTGTGCCTTCACCATGCGATGCTTTTTAGGACCAAAGTTTTGCATTTAAAGGTTGAAAATACACTGATCAAGGAAGACACGAATAGAAAGGGAAAGATCAAAAGAATACTCGATTTCCTTTTTGTGGACAAACGAATTGAAAGCTTTTCGTTACGAAACTGTCCTTCGAGGAATTTAACCTTGTTTTCTTTACGGAGGAGCGCTAAAACAATAGCTAAACCGATGCGTCCAGGTAACCATCCCAGAAACCAATGCGGGACGCATTTCGGCTTCAATTCCCTTCTCGTTGCTTATGTGGCGAGTTGCAACTAGAACAAAGCAAATAACTGTTTAATATATATTTCTATGCATACAGAATCTTCCTTGTTTATAAAGAATTGACACCTTAGTTAGACGAGCAGTGTTTGAACACTTTGTATTGTAAACACGACTTGTTCGAGTTCATGAAAAGTCAAGAAATTGGAAAAAAGTATCTGTGTTTAGTTGTCCTGTTTGTTTTTTGTTGATGTGAAAGAAACATCCTGAATGACTGGGATGTAAAAGAGAGGGCGACGAATACAGGCCAACCTTGGCCTACTATTCCACGAAAAAGCTTAACGACAACGACTAGGTTGCCGTAGTAAAAATGCCTTTTTGGCCCACCGCCGCCATTGAACATGACAATAGAAACACCAGAGTGTGACCTTAAAAAGTTGGTAGTGCAATCGTCACTCAGATAATCTACTTAACAGTCACTGCAGATTTTATCTTCTAGGTCTAAGACGATTAGCATAGTCAAACTAACTTATAATCAGATGATGAGCAGCGAATTTACTCTGCAAGCGTTTTCTCCAAGATAAGCTTCTTTTTGCTTTGTCATCTGCGGGAATAAGTTGCTCCAAGAGAGGATAAAGGGGACAGAGAAGGCATACCCCATACACACCCTATTCCATAGGTAATTTGTCTCGAGTTATTTTTAGAATCGGGATAAAGTTACCTCGCGCGCTGCGTTGATGTTTCGTGGAGGTTTCGCTCGACTAAACGCCGTGCAAAACATGTCGGGTGATAGGCAATGAAGGCGTAAAGAGATCGAGAGCATTCCTGAATATTGAAGAGAAATGAGTCCGCGCTCACCTGGGAAAAGGGAATCGGTGGACTCTTTAACAACCCATGAAATCAGTTTAACTCGAAGTTGTCGTAACCTCAGTGCTTTAATAAAATGAGAAATTTCGCCGGTCTGTTGAAACCGGTCGTTTGTACAATAAAGCAAGTAGGACGCCAAGTGTTATTTTCGTTGAATAATAAAATACTAATAAAAAGAATAAATATCAAACCAGAAATTGCTCTCTTCAAACTGTAAATTATAAATGATCCTGAGAGAATATTCGGTGTGTTAAGGATTTCCCTGCTGTACTGTTAGCTCTATACAAGAGAGGAAGGGCGATTCTTTTTTAATTTTCATTTCGCTGACACCGCTTTAGTAGAAATCTCTTTTTAGTCGTTTTCGTCGACAAAACGAATAGTAGTATCGCTCTCCGTGTCTTCCGCCATTTTTTTCAGCGTCAATTCGTGAAGGACGCGTGGCTCTGAGCGTGGGTCATCCACGCGGAACACATTCGCGCTATGTGATTGGCTGTTGTCTAATCCCCCTTGGGATCCGTGGTCTTAAAAATAACTCGAGACGAATTACCTATGGAATAGGGTGTGTCTGGGGGATGCCTTCTCTGTCCCCTTTATCCTCTCTTGGTTGCTCTCCTTTAGCATTTATCGCTTCAACACCTCGCCATAGCAGCTTTTAGTCAGAATTCAAGCGTAAATCTGTGCAAACAGTCACGTTGAACTACTTATTCGAGCGATCAAAAAAAGGATATTAAACTCTGCATGGAAATGAAACTGAAAGCTTGCGCCCACCTGGCCAATCACTTCTGCCTGATGAACAGCATACCTTTCCCGGTTCTCATGTTAAGCAACGCCTTAAGCGAAATGAGGCTTTTAAGAAAGACACTGAAAGCTTACGACCATATGAGTCTTAAAGCACACTTTGCTCTTCCTATCATCATCATCTCATGTTTTTAAGTTTTGTTTTTTTGAATAGGAGTCCTGAACCTTTACTGATTACACAGGATTTAATCTTGTATTGCTGCAGAAAATATATATTCTTTTCTAGCAAAAAACGTCACCAACATAAACAAGTTCTAAATGTGAGTTAAAAGGGCCATTACTTGTGTCAATTTCAGACTTTTAGATGTAACCTATCTGTGCTACTTTCTGTTATTTGACATAAATTCTAATCGTTTTAAATATCACGTGAATACCATGTGATTCTCGGGATATGTGACGCATGCGCATTTCGTCACAGATGATGTGAACATGTAACGTGAAAAATCGCTCATGTTAAAAGAACTGCCACTGACTTTTTTTTTCTAATTACAACCAATGTGAGTAATTTTGTCCCCTTACTGAGTTTCGTTGATAAAAACTACTCCAAACTATTAAACTATTAAAACTGTTATTAATCACAAACAATTGTCCTCAGCACTATGCGCCGCCATAGAAGCGCTGTCCTGAGACTGGTGTTCATGCTGTTCCGTAACACTTCAGTTTCCCCAGTGTGTGGTAACCTTGATCAGTGATGCCGCCATAAGCATTTCCAAACCTGAGCTGTTTGACAGGAAGCTTTGTCTTGTCAGTCAGCAGACCGCTGTCTTCACGCCATACAAGGTCATTTTTATCACAGTTACAACCATACCTGGAGTCTGCGCATGAGTTGGTCATCCCGCATGCGCACTTACCATTGATAGATGCTCCACCCCAGTATGTCATCTTAGTAGAATCACGTGACACCCACCATCCGAATGGACTGCCATAATAACTGGAAAACAAAACAGAGTCATAACACTCATACTTAATAAATTGTTCACAGTGTGAAGAGACTCTAGTGAGACTCGCCAGCTGAGACAGACTCGCCCCCGTGTAATGAATGTCACGCGAATAACTACCTCGACCGTTATATCCACTCACATGTGTTCTGCTTTCACTGTCGTGACTTATTATTGTCACGCCAACTCCACTCTTATCAGTCATGTCACAGAAGACTGTAAATGGTGCCTGGCCTCCTTTGCCATCTGGATCAATGACGTAATTTCCGCTTACACTGCTGACGTATTTTCTTATCACAGAACAGGAAGTAACAACTGGAGAGTTGATTTTGACTTTAGCTTCAATTGTCGTCAGAGCATTAGTTGCTCTACAGATGTAAGTTCCTTGGTGTGATTGTTTGATGTTTCTAAAAAGCAGTGTTCCATTTGTGAGAACATACGAAGCAGCAGGAAGTGATGATTTGCGATCTTTTCCCCAAGAAATTGTTGTTCTCAATTCACTCGCCGCCACACATGGCAGGCGAAGAGTTGAACCAATTGACGGAGTTATTTCTTCAGGAGGACGGACTTTGAACCGCAGAGGAGAAAACACCACGACTAAAACTGTGCCGCTGGCCCGTCCAACAATATTTTCTGCTTTGCACATGTATATCCCACCATCGTATTTTGCAACGTGATAGATTGTAAGGGTTCCATTCTTAACTTTAGCTTTGTCTTTAGGCAAAGAACCAAAGGCTTTTGACCACGTGATGTTTGGGCTGGGCTGACCAGTAGCATTGCAAGCGATAGTGACATTTTGTTTCTCTTCAGCCATCAGTCGATTGGATGATAAGAAAAGTTGAGGATCAGCTAATAAAAAATTGAAAAACAAAACTTGTCATTGAAGACCAACTAAAGCGAAAATATATTTTTTCTTATAATGTAAAAATAGCCGCTATAAACATCAATCTCTGAAGCAAATTGCCTCGTTTCATAAATTCTAGGATTTACAAGATTAAAAATGGCAGTTCAGCACTGACATTTCAACTACCTCTTTAAAGAAATAACCTGATTTTCCTCTTGCTAGTTATTGGCTTCCGCACTGGACCCTTGAATGATCTTATTTACTTTTAATTTAATTTAGCATTATGTTGCAGACCGAGATAGCACGTTCCTTTCATCTGTACTCCTTTAACTGCTCGTTTAGCTTGTGGTGTTAGGCCCTGTGCTCAAGTTTTCAGTCCAGTCTCTTGAGGCTTACAAAAAGTAGTCTTCTACTTATGCTGAACCTAAATTTCGATAAATTGCCCGACATTTATTCATTTTAACAATAACTAATTAAAAAAGTTATAGTCTGAAACTTAAACTCACACTAGCCACAGCGCGTCCCCGTCAAATGTTTTACTTAGTCAACAGACTGCGTCCTTGTTTCATCAGCTCCTGTCGCTCAATAATTTAGTTTTACAAAATACCTTAAAGAAAGTAGTCAATCTTACATTGAACAGTTAGTTTTGCTGAGGAGTTAATGCTGCCCAACAAGTTTTCAGCTCTACATCTGTAAACTCCATCGTCTTCCGGTCTAATGTCCTTCACAATCAGAGCGCTACTGGTAATCATGTGACGTCCAGCGGGAAGGGACGTATTTAGCTTGGACCACGTGACCTTTGGAGTTGGATTACCGTCCGCTACACATTTTAAGATGGCTGTCTGACTTTCATTAACAGTCGTTTCAACAGGTCGCTGCAGTAGAGAAGGAGCCGCAATGGACTTCCCCGGTTCGCCTTTGTCGCCTTTCTGGCCCGGCAGGCCTGGAGGTCCCGCAGGACCAGGGTGACCCGGCACTCCGAGATCCCCTTTCAAACCCATCTGTCCTTGAGATCCTATTGGTCCGTGTTTACCAGGAGGTCCCTCTGGGCCTGGTCTCCCTCGGTTTCCTGGTTTTCCCCGTCGTCCAGTGTTACCTTTTGGTCCTGATCGACAAACTGTTTCATCTTTAGCACAGATTTGGTTTTGCAGCAAACGAAGCTCTTCTTTTATGATCCGTTTTACTTCAGAAACGGTTTGGATGCGATTCTGTTGCGAATTTTGTGGTGAGGCCCGCTTTTTTCTTGACAAGGCTTCTTTCCGATCTGCTGATTATAAACATAGCGAAAGTTATAGATCAGTTGGGCAGACACATAACATCTGTATTATGGCATGTGCAGATTGCATGATGGTTCATAGTGCAAGAATAAACATCATAAACAAAGATTATGGAAGTAGGGGGTGAAAATAGCCAGAGTATCAATGGTCTATAAACCCGAGGGAAGAAAAAACTTTACCTTGCGATAGATAACAACGAAAAGGTACCTTTTTCTTTCACTAAGATCTCTATTTGAGAATTTGGAAGCTGGTTTGGTAGCTCTCACCATCAAGGGACAGGATTATTGCCGTGCAAAATGACAAAAATAATAACTGACGCCATTTAATACCTCGTGTCTCTTGCCAATCACCTCCTAAATGGCTTTCCTTCGTAGCTTGCCAGTTTTTGTAATTCTGTGGTTGTAATTTTCGGCGTATTTCTGTCTCCATCTGATCACAGCTTGTTACTGAGTGTGATATCAGGCGGCGATGTTCCTGTATGCTGAGTTCAACGTGGATCAGTGCGATACAACCCACTACAGACAACAACAAAGCTGACCTGGAGCACAATATGTCGAGTGCTTTTCTTCTCTCTGTCTCCTTGGATCTTTTTTCAACTAGTTTCATGGTTAAAGTCTCTTTCATAGACATGGAGCGTTATGAACCCCTTAAATTACGGGCTTACAGTTATCGAACAAGGCTTCTTCCAACTTCTTTGAAAGGATGCGGAAGAAATGAATTGGTTCTAAATTTCACCCTTATAAACGTGATGTAACATAACACTGCGTACGGTGTACTGTAAGTGATACGACATGATTGTCATGTTATGGCACAATCGAAAGCCCTCAAAGTTTTAGATCGTCATAACAAAGGCAATCATCATCTCGTTAGTTGTAAAGTTCTTAATTTATGATGTACTTACGTTGTTTCCAACACAACAAAAAATGCAAAAGCAAACAAACAGTTGAAAAAGAAATTGCTCATCGTAATAAAAATCTGAAAAAATATACGAAACAGTAACCTGTGATCAGGCGGTCCTTCTTACCTCCGAGAAAAATAAAACGCCTGATCGCAGGTTAACGAAACGGTGGAAAAAAGAACTTTATTTGAGCGGCAAAGCCGAGTACTTAGCTTATATAGCAACAGAGTACTTGGGATAACAATGCATAGAATTAAAAAAAAAAGAAAGAACTATTCAAAATAAAACTACAATAATCTTACCATAAGAAATAAATACCTGGCGCGTAGCTGCCTTTAAGCTGTTAAGCCCGGGCTAAACAAAGACTGGTTGAAATGGTCGCAGGGCGTGACATTGCACCATATACAGGCACCAATATCTGTTGCGGTGATAGGCGTGTAAAATTAGAACATAATTTGCTAGGAAAATCTGTCGCTGAACGCCATCCTGTTTACTTTGTTCACTTTGATTACCTACTAGAATTATGTAGGTTAAAAACGCGTAATTTTGGAGGCACTCAGCCCTAATAAATAACATTTAGTAAAACAATCTCTCCTTGTTTGTTTTTTCTTTTTCTTGCGTGTGTGTGTGTGTGTCTCTAAAGCTAGGGATTAACTTGATGGAATTTGCCACCATTTTAAAATCATAGCAGCCAACTGACTTTTACAAAAAATGTTTTATTTTCATGCCCCTGTTAGCCATATGTTATTCTGAATTGATCGAAGTTGAAACGTAACTTTGAACAAACCAATCCACCTATGTTTCTTTTCTTTTCCTTACTTAAATTTACTTGAAAACTGATCTTAAAACTAGCCTCGCCTTGCAATTTTATGTTACCGCCATTACTCATTTCAGAGTCAGTATAGGGTCATATTTGACAATCAATTTAAACTGAAACGGCTGCCCCGCCTTCTTCGTCTTTGACAACTTGTCGCCATGTCAGTGTTCACTGCCACTCCGTCAGAGACATGATTTTACACTATGAGAAAGGTGAAGGCATACGTGCGACCTTTGATACCGAAAAAACTGGCGATCCCTACATCTGTAGCTCTAGAGCACACAAGCTAGACAAGCAAAGAAATGCTCACGTCTCTACTAGTGACCTTGAGAGATATACGTGAGTGTTAATAGAGTTCTTTATAAAGAGTTAAAAACGCCATCACGGTCAGATGTTCCTCCCTGCAGATGCTGATTATGACAGTATACTCTTTATAAAACTGAAAGAGCCTGTTCGTTGATAATTCACTGTTAGTAACTCATTTAACGCATTTTTTAATGATTGAGTCGATAACAAAATGCTCTAATCTGATTGGTTCTTAACAGGCCATATTTATTGCTTAATTTTTCTATTGCAACTCTAAAACCGTCCGATTACAGTTAGACAGCCAATGGAAATCAAGTAGCAAATGTAACTAACCGATGAAATTTGACTACATGACCCATGACCAATCGAAATCAAAGAGAAATAGTTAATAAACACTGAGGCCATTTACCAATCAGATGAAAGAAAAATCGACAAAACAAACTGGTCCAATGACTTTTATTTAGATATTTTTTCCTCGCTCACATTGAAAACCTGTTCCCTCGTGACACACTATGATGATTGATGATGATTGATGATGATGATATTAGAAAGCCTTGAATTGGTAAAGAAAACGATCCTAAAGTCCAAGATGTTTTTGCTCTGGAAGCTGTAAGCAGATGTTATATAAGAATTCTGCAATCACCGTAATGAAAATAATACAAAACGGAAAGAAATTACTTGCCCGATACTCCCTGAATTTTGCTCCACTCAGTCCTGTTACCATTACATATTGTTTATAAGACAGCGTTTACTAAGCTTGGTACTATGTCCTTACCCCCCCCCCCCCCCCCCCCCCCCCCCCCCCCCCCCCCCCCCCTTTTACCCACAAAAAAAAAAAAAAAAAAAAAACACCCCCCACAAAAAAAAAAAATGCGGAATGTTAAAACAATAATACTATAAAAATTATATATATTTTGTGTTCTGTTGCCCACAATTATTTTTAACCAATATTAGTCAGTACTAATATTTTATTGATCGAGTAGCCGGTTTGTTAAAAAGCCGAAACAAAAAGGCTTTTACATCTCATTTTGTATTCGAAACAGAAATGATGCGATATAGAACAAAAATGGTGCGATCTAAAATAGAAATGATGCGATTTAGAACATGAATGACGCGATTTGGAACAGATGCGATTTAGAGCAAAAAATGGTACGATTTAGGAATAAATCACACTGCCGAGAGCCAATCAGATTGCACGGATAGCCAGTGATTTCAAAGTGGATGTAATAAATATCATAACAGTTCTTTAAATCAGCTGCAGAACTCTGCACTCAGTCGCAGCGCAGTCCTGAAAATTGGTGTTATGCTGTGCCGTAACTCTTCAATTTTCCTAGGGTGTGATAACCGTAAGCACCGCCACCAGTATCCCCAAACCTGAGCTGTTTGACAGGAAGCTTTGTCTTGTCAGTTAGCAGACCGCTGTCTTCACGCCATACATTGTCATTCTTATCACAGTTACAACCAAATCTGGAGTCTGCGCATGGGTTGGTCATCCCGCATGCGCACTTACCACCGAAAGATGCTCCACCCCAGTACGTCATCTTAGTAGAATCACGTGACACTCACCATCCGTATGGACCGCCATAACGACTAGTAAGCAAAACCGAGTAATAACACTCATACTTAATAAACTGTTCACAGTGTGAAGAGAGTCTGGTGAGACTCGCCAGCTGAGACAGACTCGCACCTGTGTAATGAATGTCACGTGAGTAACTACCTTGACTGCTATATCCATTCACATGTGTTCTGCTTTCACTGTTGTGACCTATTACTGTCACGCCAACTCCACTCTTATCAGTCATGTTGCAGAAGACTGTCAGTGATGCCAAGCCCCCCTCGCCATCTGGATCAATGACGTAATTTCCGCTAACAATGCCGAAGTACTTTCTTATCACAGAACAGGGGGTAGCAATAACTGGAAAGTTGATTTTGACTTTAGTTTCTATTGTCGTCAGGGCATTAGTTGCTCTACAGATGTAAGATCCTTGGTGTGATTGTTTAATGCTTCGAAATAGTAGTGTTCCATTTGGGAGAACATACGTGTCAACGGGAAGTAACAGTTTGCCCTCTTTTTCCCAAGTTACTGTTGGTTTCAAATCGCTCTCAGCCAAACAGGGCAGACGGACATTGAAGCCAGACAAGGGAGTCAGTTCATGAGGAGGGCGGACTTTGAATCGCAGAGGAGAAAACACTATCACTAGAACTGTGCTGGTGTCCAGTCCCAGAATATTTTCTGCTTTGCACATGTATATACCACCGTCGTTTTTTGCAACGTTATAGATTGTAAGGGCTCCATTCTTAACTTTAGCTTTGTCTTTAGGCAAAGAGCCAAAGGCTTTTGACCAGGTGATGCTTGGGTGCGGCTGACCAGAAGCAGTGCAGGCGATAGTGACATTTTGTTTCTCTTCAGCCATCAGTCGATTGGATGATAAGAAAAGTTGAGGACCAACTAGAGAAAAATTGAAAAAAATCATATAATGAAAAAATAGCTACTAGACACAACAATATTTAAGGCAAATTGCCTTGTTTCATAGATTCTAGGATTTACAAGATTACAAATTGGAATTCAGAACTCTGAAATTTCAGCTGCTTTTTGACGAAATGACTTGAATTGTCTCATGTACTAGTTTTTAGTTGCACTTTGCCTTGAATAATAGTTACCTTCAATTTAATTTAGCTGTACGTTGCCGATCGAGGTAGCATGTTCCTAACATCTGAACTTTTAATACTGTACTCATTCAACTAGTCTTTTAGCTCGTGGTGTTAAGTCCCTGTGTTCAAGTTTTCAGTCCAGTCTCTTTCGGCTTACAGAAAGTAGTCTGGTTCTTATACCGAACTTAACTTGTCCAATATTGCTTCTGTTAACAACAAAAACTATTTAAAAAACTATCAATAATCAAACTTAAATTTCACTAGCCAAACCGTCCCCGTGAAATGTTGTACTAAGTCAACAGTTTGCGCCGTCTTTTCCAGTTGCTCAAAAATGTCTTTTTGCAAATATTGAACAATAAGTTTTGCTGTAGCGTTGATGCTGCCCAGCAAGTTTTCAGCTCTACATCTGTAAACTCCATCGTCTTCCGGTCTAACGTCCTTCACAATCAGACCGCTACTGGACACTATATAACGTTCAGGGGAAGCGATGAATTTAGCTTGTACCACGTGACCTGTGGAAATGGATTACCGTCCGCTACACATTTTAAGAGGGCCGTCTGACTTTCATTAAGAGTCGTTTCAACAGGTCGCTGAAGCAAAGAAGGAGCCGAAATGGACTTCCCCGGTTCACCTTTGACGCCTTTCTGACCGGGCAGGCCTCTAGGTCCCGCGGGACCAGGGTGACCCGGTACTCCGAGATCCCCTTCCAAACCCATCGGTCCTTGAGATCCTATTAGTCCGTGATTACCAGGCGGTCCTTCTGGCCCGGGTCTTCCAGGGTGGCCTGGTCTTCCTCGGTTTCCTGGTTTTCCTCGTCGTCCAGTGTTACCTTTTGGTCCTGATCGGCAAATTGTTTCATGTTTAGCACAGATTTGGTTTTGCAGTAAACGAAGCTCTTCTTTGATGATCCGTTTGACTTCAGAAACCGTTTAGATACGATTCTGTTGCGAATTTTGAGGTGAAGCCCGCTTTTTTCTTGAAAAGGCATCTTTCTGATCTGCTGATTACAAACATAGGGAAAGTGTTAATTCAGTTCGGGCAGACACATAGCATCTTTATTATGGCATATGTGGACTGCATGATGATTCATAGTGCAACAAGAAAAAATCGAAGGAAGTAGGGGTGAAAATAGCCAGAATACGAATTGTCTATAAACCTGAGTGAAGGAAAAAGTTTGCCTTGCGTAGGATAACAACGAAAAGCTACCGTTTTCTTTTACCAAGATCTATTTCAGGATTTGGAAGCTGGTTTGGTAGCTCTCACCACCAAGGAACACGATTATTGCCGTGCAAAATGACAAAAATAGTAACAGACGCCATTTTATACCTCTTGTCTCTTGCAAATGACCTCCTAAATGGATTTCCTTTGTAGCTTGCCAGTTTTCGTAATTGTGCGGTTGTAATTTTCGGAGTATTTCTGTCTCCATCTGATCACAGCTTGTTACTGAGTGTGATATCAGCCGATCGTGTTCCTGTATTCTGAGTTCCAAGTGAATCAGTGCAATGCAACACACTACAGACAACAACAAAGCTGACCAGGAACACAACACGTCGAGTGCTTTTCTTCTCTCGGTCTCCTTAGATCTTTTTTCAACCTTTTTCATGGTCAAAGTCTTTTTCATACACGTGGGACGTTATGAACCCTTCAAATCAACAGCTTCCAGTTCTCAGACAAAGGTCTCTTCCCGTTAAACAACGAGAAAGTTCCCGAGACGACAATTTTAAGCTCTTTATACATAGCCGTGCGGGAGAAATAATTCACCCTAAAGCATGATGTAACCTAATTCTGCCTGTGGTATACTGTAAGTAATGACCACTAATCTATGACTCAAACGGACGCCCTCAGAAGTTTGAGTCAACATAACAATGGCAATCAGCTTTCCTTACAATTTTTATCTCATTTGTTGTCGTTTTCTTTCTATTCAAGTTCATGTTACATCTGTGTTGTTTCGGACACAACAAAACATGAAAAAGCAAACAAACCAGTGGATCATGCTAGCAAAACAACATAAGTGACCTGTAGATCTTGTCTTTCCAAATATCCTGAATGGAAGGTAACCATTTCAGCTTATCATCCGCCGTTCAATAAAATTTTTCTGTATGAATGATTTTTACATCTTAATTTGATTATAATTCCCGTGATGTTCTTCTTTTCAGCTTTCTTCAATGAAGAACACACTCAGTTAGAGCATTTGTGACCATTTGTTGTTCCAACAGCCCGTAGAAGCAATTTAATAGTATTCAAACGCAACTTAACGTTTTACAGCGGAATGGAACTTAATACAACCATTTTTTTCTTAGAATTCGCCGTCGTGGTCGCTTGAGCTCACTACTATCTTATGTCTTAACAGTTTGTGTTTGCGCGTAGAAGTAGTGAACCTTTAGTATGTTTTACTAAACTCGTGTAATCCTGCAACAATGTTACTAACATTCATACACATGAACTCAAACGGGATTATTACTTGTCTCGTTTTTGTTTGAAAATGGTCGGTTTTTCTGGAATCACTTGGCCCCTCAGTTTTATTAAAACATTAAACATCTTAGCCGGAGCTTCCTGTTTGGAATACCTCCTGAATCTCATTTACTAGCATTGATTTTTATAAAACAAATGAAGGATGATAAAAAGACTCAATGGTCGGTTAATAAAAGTAACAAAAAATGCCCATTGGAACACATACATATATGAACTTTATTTAAGCGTCAAAGAGTACTTACAATATAGCTACACAGTAATTGGGACACAAGTACATACTATTAAAAGTAGTATAATACATGTGATAACTCAACTCAAGACTGACCGAAAAACATTTTGAAAACTCATATTGAAAATCTAAGGTATTTTCGTTCAAGAAGAGCTGAAAGACATGAACCATGTATTAGCGTTAGGAGATGCATAAAGATACCAATTAGGTTTTTTCAAGGGGGTCCCCGGGTTTTTTCTATTTGTTTGTTCGTGTTATTGCTGTCAAACCTGAAAGTTTGCTTTCCTTTTCTTGTTACTCTAGTATCATTTTTCCGTGAAAACAAAACGGTATTGAAGTGCCCATAACCCAAAACAATTTATTTGTCTAATTGAAAGTACACGATACTATGAGAACCTTTGCGAAAAAATTTCCATTTGAACACAACGTGTCTGATGTTTTGGAATTTTCTTACATTCGTAGACATGCCCGTTCTGCTGATCACAAAATCGATAGGCTTAAATGAGACGTCATGAGACAAATTCAGAGACTGAAAAACGGGATTTTATGCATGCTTATTTCTTTCTTAGAGTCGCCAGTGTTGTTGAAGCTCACTGCAACACATCTAACTGGAATGGTTTACCTTTTAACAGCTGTTTTAGTTTGTGAATAGAAAGAAATATTTCTAGAAGTCTACACATATTTTCTCTCACAGTTGTTTTCTTGTTCCTCAATGTACGTCTTATTTCCTTAATCTACGTCACAGCTTCATTGTTTCCGAGAGGCTTCCGAGACAAGACGAAGACATATGGTGTGCCAAAAGGGCGGAAAATTTGAACGTTTAAAAAAAATTCTAAAGCAATCACGTTGTGTTCACATAACATCACCTTTATTTAACCTCGGATTTACAGTGTAGCTCTTGAAGCTAATATCTCCGAGATAAAAGAAAATAAATAATAATCAACGGCTTGGAAACTAAAATTTCGAGGACGTTTTTGGACTTTTTACATTTAGGGCATGAATTTTTCGTCATTTCAGGCCATGGAACCTGAAAATGAGCCTAGCTAGCTGTAAAAAGGGGCAATACGGAGGCAATACGTCCTAGCCGGCATGATCACATGCTGTTTACGGAAAATTCCCTCATCCATGTCAGGAAATTCTGTATTTTAAAGCCTCCCCTAGGGCATGACTCAGCAATTGAGGACATTTCTGCTACGTTTTCAATGTTGGTTAGCATGCAAGGATTTTTCCCATGCCTATCGTCAATGATTTGCTCACTGGTAATAGAGGGGGTGGCCCCAGAGTGGTTTTGCATTGAAATTGGCATGCAACAGAATTTCGCATGCCCTGTAAGCATAATTTGAGGTTCTGTGACCTTCTCACCCAGGCCGCGAGAAGCCTAGGTTCTAGTAATAAGTAATTCATACCCAGCAAAATCCCCGGCATGCCGGGCATGCCAAATTTTCTGACATGCCCGGCATGCTAAATTCTCTGGAATGCCGGGCGTGCCATAATCTGGGTCATGCCGGGCATGCCAAAATCGGTCTCTGGCATGTTTCAACGCACAGGTTATAATTCCTTGAATCTACAGATATTTTAAGCCTGGCTAAAAAAAAAAAAAAATAAACAGATCACAGTGCTTATCTTTTGATGTACGGTTACACGATGACGTCATTGCTATTCCTTTCATTTTCATAGATTTGGTTGTCCCAGCGAAGTTTAAATAACAAAAGCTCTAATTTTCACAAGAAAGTAAAACCCTGAGGGATTCTGCCGAAGTAATAAAACAGCGTCATCGTGGAGATGACCTGTTGGGGGATTGTAAAAACTCCTCACCCCTTTTAATGAGTCTTTAATAGGATTCCCATTTCACATTGCGAATAAAATGGAATTGACTGAAATCAGTAAAAAGAGAGACAGAGACTATTTTCATTGTATAATAAAATGCATCTATGTTCCATGAAAGCTTTTAAAAATACAAGGTTATAGAATATCTTTCAAAGTTCATTACAAACTGAGCTAAGCCCCAAAATCACTGTTCATTATTCAGTAAATTATGATGTTTGACAATGCAATGTGCTTGAATATAACGTTGCAATTACAAATCTCTCGAACGCAATTTTCCCTACGTTAGAAAAGCTCTTTTTATCTTGTTTCACATTTTGATAAGGAGTCTGAGTTCCTCTTTCTTGTTTTGTAGGCTTGCCAGGGATTAATGTTTTTTTGTCATTACCAGTGTCTGTGTTCTTCGTTTTTAACTCAAAGTAAGTCAGTAATAACTGACGGTATCAAAGGATTGCTCTCTAGAAAAGTAATTATCTCCTCGTCATGTCTGGAAGTTACCTGTAACAAAAAAGAAATGGAATCTTAACACATGCAAGGGCAATATGAAAAAAAGAAATAGAACATGTAGAGCTCAGCTTCTCTTAACATATTTTCATACTGGCTTGTTGAGTCTGTTAAAGGTCGCAACTAATTGTCTGAGGCTAATTTCACAAGAGTGTGCAATTGAGATAAATACATGGTAAATAAAGTGAAAGAAACGTGGTTTCACATTAGCCAATTTACATTGCGCTGTTCGATGATGTTTACACGCTTTTCTACTGCGAAATAAACCTTTGCATTTGGATTTGCAAGTCAAGATTATACCGAGTTTGACTGACACTTAATTGAACAACAGTTTCATTTTTAAGCAGGCAATTGGGGTGTAGACCCATATAAAGCCGGAATATGTAAAGGAAACTCAGCGAAAACTTTTTCGCATCTTTTTGTGGCGATATTCTTTCACGGCCCGTCAACTGATTAGGGGTTGCGAAGAAAAAATAAATTAGGACCAAAGGTTAAAGCCTGTCCGGTTACATCATTTCGTATGTTACCTAGAGTTCTAATAAATAGGTCATAAAATAGGATTTAACGAGAGCGAATTTGTTTCTCAATCGGTGTATAAAAAAGTGAGGCTATCAAATGAGAAGTTTATAGAGTATCAAAATTATTAAATTAAAAGCTCATTTAATTAGGAAAATTCCTATACGAAAACAATGCTAGTGACATTAAATTGATCAGATAAAATTCTCAGAAAATATGTCCAATAAAAGCCTCATTATTTGCTTTTGTTTTTGCGTAAAGGTAAATTTTTCGGCCCACAAAGCAAAGTTGAAAAAGCGACTAAATCTTAGTTTTTTACATTGAACATGTTTATTAGCTTAGTTTTCGTCCGTTTTAAAAGCTTTATAACCCAATCATAATTTTCGGGTTAAAATATTACAAAATCATTTCAAAAACCATGTTCATTTAAAGTAGAGCCGGCAAACCTGAACATTTTGTAATTCAAAAGTCGGACCCAGCCAGGTTGTTTAAGCTTAGAATTATTTGCATTTTAGCGTCCTATAAATTTACCAGAATCGCCTCTCAGAGGCTTACTGTAGCAAAGCATTTTGTAGTACACTCGTAGACAAGCAATGTAAGCCTTAAGTCTTTGCTTGGATGAGATGTCCAAAAGAAAAATTAGTTTTGTGGACCTAAACGCACATTCACAGACTGCTTATATTGAGTTGTTTACAACTTTGCATTGACACGCGCAGCATGTTCATTTTTTTAAAGCGAAATCCAAATCTGATTTTGGCATTTGATTTACGGATATTTTATTTTGTCTCCAAAAGTGATTGTAATATCCGTTTGATTGTCTTTCAAACAACAGTCAAACTATGCAGCAAAAATAAGTAACTTTACCAGTACAGTGGAAAAATATGACCGTAGGTGCCAAAAATAATTATACTCGAGCTATAAAATTAGAACTGACTTTTTTTAGCTTTGGTTTCTTATTTTTGAAGTTTTCTCTAGTCTTCTTAGCAGCAGAAGAAGATTACAAGACATACAAACAGAAACAATCCGAAGTGAACAAGTTGACAACCACTTATGCCGGAGTTCTTAGGCATGCTCAACAGCAAGATAAACTGAATGCCAAAAGGATAATTCACGGGATTTGTTCGATATTCAGGCTTTTTCTTTACCAAATTAATACTAAATTTGTACTTACAGTCTCTCGCAGAATCCATTTCTTGTCCAGCATTCACCAACATCTCAACCATGCACCGCAGAAAAAAAAGACAAACAAGTGCGAAGAGACATGACGACATCGTGACGCCACAACTGCCACGCTACAACAAACTAGATTCCTCGTCATCCGCGAAAACACTTCTGCGGAAATTCGGCCGATTTCGTGCGTGCTCGGGGTATCTTCGGATGACGCAGATGACGTTGCTCAAAGGACTATCGTCAGCAAGGAGTAAAACAGTTTGCGAGATTCGCATAGCCGACAAGGAGCGCACTGAAAAACTAAGCAAAATCTCTCTGAGAAGGCAGTCCAAATTCACCAAATCAGAACGTCTTTGCAGTATTAACGTCGTACTCTCGTACTGACTTGAACGACCTGGTAAGCTTCATTTTCACCAGTCTTTTAATGCTGTTGACCGGGAAACATTCCGACACGATAAAACTTAAGCATGGATAAGTTTATACTGAGAAGATTTGTTATCTTATTGTTTAAGACGCTTTTCCGCGATCAAATTTAAATGTGGACCCAGAAATGTCAGTATCGGTTTGAAATAAAAGGATTAATCTTTGATTGCAAGTTAAGTATTCTATTTTATGTATGAATAATGTTGTTTTGTTGTGCTTTTTATTTATAAATCCAGGCTTCTGTCTTCAGTTTTGCCAGTCGATCCCGTGACACACATTGTGACAAACATGACTTTTTTTGTTATAATCTGCATTTATTGCCAGGCATGAAACCTGTAACTTCAAGCTCCCTAAGATATATTTGGCGATTATATGTGATTCTCAGGATATGATGCTGAAGCGAACATCAAAATCAGTCTCGCTGGGCATGCCAATTTCTTGCCTGGCATGCCGGGCATGCCAAACCAACTGGCTTCACCATCGGCATGCCCGGCATGCCAAACCAGAGGAGCTAAAACTGGGAATGAATTATTAACCCGGCGAGAGATCTGGGACCTAAGTTTAGCTGGGTCAATTTTGGGCTGCGAGGGCATGAACCCATTTTTTCCATGCCTATGAGATGTTATTTCTAAGTACCAATGTTCCCTTGAATTTTGTCATGCCTAAATATATAAAATTTTCCCTCTCTCATTAATCCTCAGACTGGATGCGATTTTTACGCTCGGTAGGCATGTTCAACTGAAAATCATGCCCATACCCTTATTCAAAACAAAATGCTATCAAATTTTAGTTTCCAAGCCGTTTAATCCTAAAAGAAAAGAAATAGGAGATAGAAGAAAACAAGAAAAATAAGAGGAAATTCAGAACTATAAGAAAAGAATTTATCTACCTGTTGCTTGTATTATTATACTTGTTCAGACTAAATTTGCCCCACTCTGAATTTGAACTCCCTAAAGAATGCCGTAGACCACCAGTCCTCAGGGAGTCCATTCCACATTGTGGTAGATACGTACCTAAGGAACGTAAACGGTGAGTTGTTGTCTTAACGCAGGGAACGGTGAGTTTGTTTGTTCCCCGCAAATGATTTTTTTTAGCAGAGGTTCTCGTAGCAATGCGTACCTTCACTTAAAAGGAAATAAAATTAGGTTATGGGCACTTTAAAGGAAGCAGAGGAAAGGCTAGTTGACGAAAAAGGTAATAAGAACGACTGAGGAAATAAGCTATAATATTAAGATTGCACGTAAAATAACAGCTAGGGCTGTCGGGGTTCATGTTGAAAGAAAAAAAAGGAATACCATCAAGCGAAAATACATGCATAATTTCGCAACAATTTTCTGCGAACCTGAGGAAGAAATCTAAACTTATGTTCGATAGTGGCAAACGTTGCTTTAAACAAAAAGGCCGGGCGAATTTCATCTTTGGGAAACCCAAAACTGACCTTAAATGACAAACATGGGTAAGAACTGACGCCATTTAAATCCGACCTCGTAACTCCTGCCAATGACCTTCTGAAAGGCTTTCCTTTCTTTCCTTGTTAACTTTCCTGTGTCCATAGCTCTGCGGCTGTAATTTTCGAAGCATTTTTGTCTCTATCTGATCACAGCTTGTAATTTAGTGAGATCACTCGGTAATGTTCCAGTATTCTGCGTTCAACGTGAATCAGTGCTATGCAACTCACTACAGACAACAACAAAGTTGACTTGGAACAAAACTTATCGAGTGTTTTCCTTCTCTCCGTCTGCTTCTCTTTCTTTTCTCCTGGCTTCATATTTAAAATCGTTTTCACAGACGTGGGTCTACTTACTTTAGTGACTGAGCTTAGCTTACAGCTATCGGACAAGGCGTCTCAATTCTAAATCCTTAAAATCGGTTCTGATTTATTGCAACATGATGCGAGGAATCTCGGATCACACATCCTGATCATACCAAAGGAACGCATTTCTAGCTCAGCTCCATCTGATTTAAATTTGTATCTTGGATTCTACCTAATATTTATAGTGAAGGGATCGAAGAAAAGGATAACGTAAAAGACACAATGGGTGCGGTTACACCAGCCATTTTACCCATGGGCATATGGCTGTGAATGATTTTACGTTTAGTAAATTCTAAAGCACCTTGAAAAACTCGCAAGTTTTCTTTACATCAGTGCTCAGGAATTCTTTCCTCGTGAAGTCGTTGCACCCCAATTTATAAACGCGTACTTTTGAGCTTTAAGAGAGAATTCGCCTTTCCTTTCAGCCCGAATGGAGTCGCCTCTTCGGTTTTAGTTCCACAATTTAGGGCTGAATTTTTCTTGCTCAGGATTAATTGATGCAGAGGTTGTTGTGAAGGGTAGACATGGTCGAAAAAGTTTACTATGTCAGCCTTCAATGTTTACAGCGACGTTTACCGCGAGACTGGGTTTAAGTTTTTTCTTTCCCTTGGGCGGTTTATGGCTGTTTAACGGCAAACATGAAAGTGACCAAAAGCCAGAGCAAACTTAAACCAAGCTCCCCAAGGGAAGCTTTGGGAAAAGGTCTAGTGTAACCACAACCTTTATGGAGAGCTCGCCAGTAATAAAACACCTTCATTGGTGCTTATGAATTTGGGTTGAAAGTTTAAGAAAAGAAACTTTGCTGTCTAATTTTGTAAATACTGCCGACTTTTCTACTCTAAAATACGACAGATGTAAGACGGATACCTCCCTAAAAGGAACACTTGAGTTGGTTCCTGCTCTTCGTCGATTTCAGTCTTGCTGTTTAACTCTCTTTGACTTGTAGACGGTCACCCTCTACGAAAGGAAGTCACTTCCGGTTCAAAGTTGACTGTGCTGACGTAAGATGCAAAGTCGCCCGCCGAATTTTAATTTTATGCGCGTAGACTGCACTGCACAAAACGTTACTCATGTAACAGCACCTTTATACCTTAGCTAAAGGATTTCAAGTAACGCACAAAAGTTTTCTGAAGTATTTTCCATCAAAAGTCCTAATTTAAAGGATCAAGATCACCGCTTTTTTCCATTTTAAGTTGCAGAAATGGTGACGCAAAGGTCCAGTAAGTGAGATATTATTCATGGTAATTTTCTTGTCTAAAAAAGGTACCACAGAAACAGTACGGTGTATAACCAGTATAACCAATAACGATGAAACCTCTGTCACGAATACGAAAACCTCAGAATATTAATTTAGTGGGTAAAAATGCCCTTACGAGGTAAGAATATATAAAACGGATAAAAGGTTGCAAGGCGTTGGACTACGTCAAACTGAAAACTTTGGCCAAATTTTTCAAGGTGCATTACCATGACGCAGGCTTTGTAATGTCTTATAACACTAAACACTGAGCTCGGTGGACCCATACCCGCGATACTGTTGCTACAGTAACCTATTAAAAATGTTGCATTTGTTGCAAGTCAGCTTTAAACACTGTATTGAAAGAGCATCTCTTCAGCCCATCATCTATACTTGTTGTGTAAAAAGCTTCCTACACTTATTTTGAGTAAAAAGAGATCGAAGCTTTACAAATAACTACATACTTCTCCTGGTCACGTCCCCGCTCGCCTTTCGAACTTTCCGCAATTCCGAAACGTTGCAAGATTAGACAGCGTAAAGAAAAGCCTCCGTAAAGGTCCGATCACTCAGTGAGGAAGAATTTCTATCTACAATGAAAACATTTCAACGTAGTAGGGCCCTGGGTACTGATGGTTTATCGGAAGAGTTCTATCTTTGTTTCTGGAATGATACCTCCAGCCCTTTGACTGAGTGTCTCAATCATAGGACGCTATTGGGAGAACATTTCGTTTTCCAGAGACGAGGATTTGTTTCTTTGATTTCAATAAATAAATAAATAATTTAGGACCCTCTGCTTCTAAAACAAACTGGCGCCCTATCTCACTTTAAGCACAGATTACAAACTTGAAACGACACAAATTGTTTGCTATCAAAACTGTATCTCCAAGGGTAATATAACTGTTCATTCAGAGAAACATTTATCCATAAGCAAATTATTCTGGATAGAAACGGAAACATTTAACGGTCAAAAACTAACCATCCCTTCAGCAACAGTCTTTGAAATCAAGCCGAGACGAAGTGGCTTAAAAAGTCTCAAATAGAAGAAATGAAAAGAAAAAAAACAAAGAAAAGTGTTGGGAAAACTTACAAAGGCGACAGCATAGAAATGAAAAAAAATTGGAGCTAAGCCTTTTTTGTAAGTTATGAATCTAAAGATCTAAAACAAACCAGGGAAAACAACTGTTCTTTTTACGACCATCTCAAAAATGAGGGGGACAGGAACTTTACCCCCTAGCCACATCTACCCTTCGTGGTTCGTGCCGAAGCGCAATTCTGACGCTAAAGTGTTCATGCTGTGGCGTAACACTTTAATTTTCCCAGTGTGTGGTAACCATGGTTGCCGCTACCAGTATCTCCAAACCTGAGCTGTTTGACAGGAAGCTTTATCTTATCAGTCAGCAGACCGCTGTCTTCCCGCCATACACGGTCATTCTTATCACAGTTACAACCAAACCTGGAGTCTGCGCATGAGTTGGTCATCCCACATGCGCACTTACCACTGATAGATGCTCCGCCCCAGTACGTCATTTTAGCAGAATCACGTGACACCCACCATCCGTATGGATTTCTATTGTAAAGCAAAACTGAGTCCAAACACTCATATTTGATGGACTGTTCACAGTGTGATGAAACTCTGGTGAGACTGGCCAGCTGAGACAGACTCGCTCCTGTGTAATGAATGTCACGTGAATAACCACCATGACCGCCATATCCATACACATATGTTCTGCTTTCACTGTCGTGACCTATAACTGTCACGCCAACTCCACTCTTATCAGTCATGTCACAGAAGACGGTGAACGGTGCCAGGCCTCCCTCGCCATCTGGATCAATGGCATAATTTCCGCTTACACTGCTGACGTATTTCCTTATGACAGAACAGGAAACAGCAACAACTGGAGAGCTGATTTTCACTTTGGCTTCTATTGTCGTCAGGGCATTAGTTGCTCTACAGATGTAAGATCCTTGGCGTGATTTCTTTATATTTCGGAAAAGCAGTGTACCATTTGAGAGAAGATGCGTGGCAACAGGAAGTGAAGATTTCCGATCTTTTTCCCAAGTCACTGTTGGTCTCAGATCACTCTCCACCAAACACGGCAGGTGGACATCGAAGCCAATCACGGGAGTAACTTCTTGAGGAGGACGAACTTTGAACCGCATAGGAGAGAACACCATGAGTTGAATTGTGCTAGTGGCATGTCCCAGAACATTTTCTGCTTTACAGACATATATCCCACCGTCGTTTTTTGTCACTTTATAGATTGTCAGGGCTCTATTCTTCACTGAAGTTCTGTCTCTAGGCAACGGACCAAATCCTTTTGACCACGTGATTGTTGGGTGCGGCTGACCAGTAGCATTGCAGGCGATGGTGACATTTTGTTTCTCTTCAGCCATCAGTCGATAAGATGACAAGAAAACTTGAGGACCAACTTGAAAGAAACAGAGAGAAAATTATTGTTCTTCACGTCACGTTAAAAAAAGCCCGCAAACACATCAATAAATAAATTAAGAGCAAAAAGTTTTCTTTTTTCATAGACTTAAGGATTTCCACTGACATGCGTATTCACCAGTTTGATAGTCATTGAGCAAATCAGAATGTTTGTTTAATCTACCTTCCTACTACCATACTCCTGTAGCAGGTAGTCATAATTCTCTATGGTCAATTATTTCCTCGCATCTTCCGAATATTAACAAAAATCTTATTAAACTTAAATTAACTAATTTTAATTAAAAAACCTATGTCGAACTTTAAGGATTATAATCTTAAACTTACTAGAACGTTGTCTTTGGCAAAGATAGTTGTTAACTTTAAACTAAGCAATTAATTACTGAATACTTTGAATAAATGTAAGACAATACTTTGGACTTAATCCTTCTGACATACAGAGAAAAGCAATCGTGACTGTCATGCTTACACTGAACACTTAGTTTTGCTGTAACGTTGACGCTGCCCAGCAAGTTTTCAGCTCTACATCTGTAAACACCATCATCTTCTGGTCTAACGTCCTCCACAATCAGAGCGTTACTGGTAGTCACATGACGTCTAACGGGAAGAGATGAATTTAGTTTCGACCACGTGACTTGTGGAGTTGGATTACCTTCCGCAACACATTTCAAAATGGCTGTCTGACTCTCATTAACTGTTGTTCCAACAGGTCTCTGAAGCAGAGAAGGAGCTGAGATGGACTTTCCCGGTTCCCCTTTGACGCCTTTCTGACCCGGTAGGCCTCTAGGTCCCGCGGGACCAGGGTCACCCGGTACTCCGAGATCTCCTCTCCAACCCATTAGTCCTTGAGGTCCTATTGGTCCATGTTTACCAGGCGGTCCTTCTGGCCCTGGTGTCCCTGGCAGGCCTGGTCTCCCCCGGCATCCTTGTTTTCCCCGTCGTCCAGTGTTGCCTTTTGGTCCTGAACGGCAAACTGTTTCATCTTTAGCACAGATTTGGTTTTGCAGCACACGAAGCTCTTCTCTGATGAGCAGTTTTACTTTAGAAACCGTTTGGATAAGTTTCTGTTGCGAATTTTGTGGTGAAGCTCGCTTTTTTCTTGAAAAGGCCTCTTTCTGATCTGCTGATTACAGTTGTAGCAAAAAAAAATTATAATTCAGTTCGAGACTGACGAATGGCATCGGCATTAAAGCATGTGTGGATTGTATGATGGTTCATGGTGCAAGAAAAAACATCAAGAACAAATATTACGAAAGAAGGGATGAAATAGTCCGAAAACGAATGGTCTATAGACCCGAGTAAAGTAAAAATTTTACTTACGTTGGATAAGAACGAAAAGTTACCGTTCTCTTACGCTAAGTTCTGTTTCAGGATTGGAAGGTGATTTGGTACCTTTACCTACCATGGGACACGATTATTGCCCTACAAAATGACAAAGATAATAACGACGCCATTTAATTACCTCGAGTCCCTTGCAAATGACCTCCTAAATGGCTTTCCTGCGTAGTTTGCCAGTGTCCATTGCTCTGCGATTGTAATTTTCGAAGTATTTCTGCCTCCATCTGACCACAGCTTGTTATTGAGTGTGATATCAGTCGGTGATGTTCTTGTATTCTGATTTCAACGTGAATCAGTGCGATACAACTCACTACAGACAACAACAAAGCTGACCTGGAGCACAATATGTCGAGTGCTTTTCTTCTCTCTTTCTCCTTGGCCCTTTTTTCAACTTGTTTCATAGTTAAAATCTTTTTCATAGACGTGGCGCCTTATTAACCCCTTAAATTACGGGATTACAGTTATCGGACAACGCTTCTTCTAAATCTTTTAAAACAACGAGAAAGGATGCGAAGAGATGAATTGTGTCTACATTTCACCCTAAAACGTGATGTAACATAACACTGCGTACGGGGGACGGTAAGTGATACGACATGATTGTTATCTTATGGCGCCAGCAATCCTGCGAAAAGCAATCGTTAGTTGTACAGTAATTTTCTTTCTACTCAAATTCGTGTCATACCTGTATTGTTTGAAACACAACAAAACATGCAGAAGCAAACAAATAAGGGAAAACTGGAGTAATTTGCTCATCGTGCCAAAAAAAACAACATACTTAAAAGTGACCTCTAGATCTTGTCTTATGCGGCGATGCTTTTAGTCAGTTTCTGCGTTCTTAGAGAAAAGATGAGAGGAAAGTGATATCGTCGGCAACAAAAACGTTTACTGACCTTTGTGTCCTAGCTGGTAGATAGATTATTGTGAAAAATCCCCAAAATGTGGTTAATTATGCACAGAATGGCCGCCATTGATGAGTTATGCAACAAAATATCACGCCATGCACGATGGGAAGGGTGATCTATCCTCCCTTGGTATAGTCCTCACTACCAAGGGACACGACGTCAGTGACACCGGGTGAGAACGCAGCCCGAAGTTCGACGGACTGACGAACCACACTGAGGGTATGCGACAGCAGTACTTTGGTCAGGTCTTCTTTCCTTGTGGTCCTGTCGCTGCTGTTCACAGGCTTTCAAAGGCTTAAATGTCCTTGTGAACGAGCAGGCACTGTGGTCAGTGGCGGCAAGGGTTTCACTCCCAAGAGTGGGAATGCCTGCAAGCCGTCTATGAACCTCTTTAATGGGCGTCCAATGTTACACTGCATCAGTGGCAAGTTCAGAGAGAAGAAGACCATCTTTTGTTCGGGTTGTTGTTACGAAAACGGCAGAAAACAATTGTTCGTCTTCTGATAAATTATTTATGATTATTTTCTCGTCGTTAAAGGGTAGGCTACCGTTATTGTAGAAACCCAACAAAAACTTTTAAAAACCAATGACAACATCAATGTTAGCTTTTAAAGAGTTCTGTCACACTGTTTGGAGTTTTTAAATGAATTTAATAACTAAACCTCAAATGTTGGTTAGTCACAAAAACACATCAACACACTTTAGAGGTAAGAACAGACAATGAAGGATCAAGAATGGTGTAGGATAGTGGATTGCAAACGTCAGACGTGATACCTTTTGTCAACTTTGGCAAAAGTTTTGAAAATGAACCAATGTGAAATAGCTGCTGTAAGGTCTTACAACATAAAAGAGTTCGGTGGGCCCATTGAAAGCAATTTTACAATGTAATACTTTTGCTACAGTAACCAATTGTTACATTTGTTGCAAGGCATCTTTAAGCACCGTATTTGAACAGCTTTGGGCCTTTACCCCGTTATTTAAACTTGATAATTTAAGGGTTCCCCATGCAAGACGCGGGATTTTTTTTAGCCATCCATGCTAATATAGCATGTTAATTTGTCAGTTTTTACTTGACATTTCTTTTTTCTTTACCTCATAGTTTTCGGAGGTCTTCAATATCTTAACAATATTCAATAGTCATTCATGTAACATAGCAGATTTTACAGTTCACATTGAAATCGAAAACTACCTATTGAGCGAACAGATTTTGTTCTTGTCATAGTTCGGACACATGACAACACATTTGCCATTGCCCTTCTGCTACGTACTACATGTAAGCAAGTGTAAACATTTTTTCTCTTTTGATTATGTTACTTAAACATGGTAAATAGCTCAGCGTGTACGTTTGACTGAGTTACGGATGCTTGCTAAAAGCACAATTAAAAAAGCCATTCTTTAAACACAGGTGCATTCAAGTCTGTGATATCAGATTTGGGGAAAAAATTTCGGGTGCTTCTGGTTGGCTGGGTAAAAAACCCCAGCATGGTTCTAAGCAGATAAGGGGAATTTAGACGCTTCGGGTTTATATGCTTCTGATCGCAAATAATCGACCATTCTGCAAGATATGATGAACGGCCGCACAGCTTTCCCGTGTCTCCGTAAAGTTTTGAAGAGGTCATATATTGAGCAACGTTTCAGCAATCAAACGAAATGAGGTATCTATGAAGGAAAGCAAAAATTGGAAAAAACACTTGGCTCTTTCTGCAGACATCATTATCTCATGTTTTTACATTTTGTGTCTGTGCGTAGAAATCCTTATCCTTCACTAAACTCGAGTAATGTCGCAATAATTTTACTAACATGCGTAAACTTAAATTCAAACGCATATTACTTCTGTCAATTGTAGTTCTTTGTTTGAGAATGGTCTTTTTTTGTAATCACTTGATCCCTGAAAGATGGTGATTCAAAATCGCATTGATTCCTAGTGATATCTCGCTCCTTTCTGTCTTTTTGTGATATGAATTCCTTTGAGAGTGCGAGAAAATAATACTAAAAATGGTGAAAACTAAAGAAGGTGGCCTTTTCATGGAAAATTCCTGATAAAAATGTGAAGTTGAGGTCAAAAATGTCAAACTGTGTATAATATTCTTAATGTAAATAACGCTTTGTTCCTTTTGGGAAACTCAAATTAAACATATCTGTATGATATTTGTACGTATGAAGTGTTTCTGTGGAAATGTACCGGCAAAATGGGACACCTGTCTCGCACCGAATACATAAGGGAAGGTATCAAATAACCAGCAGAAAAATCATAGGATTACAAATGAAATTAGCTAACTCAAATAAATTTTTATAGAGTTTTGTGTACTAAAAAGTTCGACAAACTTTGGTAAACGTGTCTCCTAATAGAGGTTCGCTGATTAAATTTAAAGTGAAATTAAGTGAATATCACAACATCAAAATTTGCTTCAGCGCTATGCACTTTGAAGCGCAGTCCTCAGGTTGGTATTTATGCTGTTCCGTAACACTTCAATTTCTCCAGTGTGTGGTAACCTTCCTGTCGGCTGCCGCCAGTATCTCCAAACCTGAGCTGTTTGACAGGAAGCTTTGTCTTGTCAGTCAGCAGACCGCTGTCTTCACGCCATGCATTGTGATACTTATCACAATTACAGCCATACCTGGAGTCTGCGCATGAGTTGGTCATACCGCATGCACACTTACCATTAATAGATGCTCCGCCCCAGTACGTCATCTTAGTAGAATCACGTGACACCCACCATCCGTATGGACTGCCATAATAACTGAAAAGCAAAACCGAGTTATAGCACTCATACTTGATAAACTGTTCGCAGTGTGAAGAGATTCTGGTGAGACTGGCCAGTTGAGAGAGACTCGCTCCTATGTAATGTATGTCACGTGAATAACTACCTTTACTACTATACCCATTCACATGTGTTCTGCTTTCACTGTCGTGACCTATTACTGTCACGCCAACTCCACTCTTATCAGTCATGTCACAGAAGACTGTGAATGGTGCCTGGCCTCCCTCGCCATCTGGATCAATGACGTAATTTTCGCTTACACTGCTGAAGTACTTTCTTATCACAGAACAGGAGGTAGCAATAATTGGAGAGTTGATTTTAACTTTTGCTTCTATTGTCGTCAGAGCATTAGTTGCTCTACAGATGTAAGTTCCTTGGTGTGATTGTTTGATGTCTCGGAAAAGCAGTGTTCCATTTGTAAGAACATAGGTGTCAGCGGGAAGTAAAAGTTTGCCCTCTTTTTTCCAAGATACTGCTGGTTTCAGATCGCTCTCGGCCAAACACGGCAGACGGACATTAATGCCACTCAAGGGAGTCACTTCATGAGGAGGGGGGACTTTGAACCTCAGAGGAGAAAACACTACCACTAGAACTGTGCTTGTGGCCCTTCCCAGAATATTTTCTGCTTTGCACATGTATATCCCACCGTCGTTTTTTGCAACGTCATAGATTGTAAGGGCTCCATTCTTAACTGCAGCTTTGTCTTTAGGCAAAGAAACAAAGGCTTTTGACCACGTGATGCTTGGTTGCGGCTGACCAGTAGCATTGCAGGCGATAGTGACATTTTGTTTCTCTTCAGTCATCAGTCGATTGGATGATAAGAAAAGTTGAGGATCAGCTAATGAAAAATTGAAAAACAAAATTTGTTATTGAAGACCTACTAAAGAGAAAATATTTTTTCTTATAATGTAAAAACAGCCGCTATAAACATCAATCTTTGAAGCAAATTGCCTCGTTTCATAAATTCTAGGATTTACAAGATTAAAAATGGGAGTTCAGCACTAAAAATTCAAATGCCTCTTTAAAGAAATGTAAACTGATTTTTCTCTTACCATTTATTGGCTTCCGCACTGGACCCTTGAATATTATTTACGTTTTATTTAATTTAGCATTATGTTGCAGACCGAGATAGCACGCTCCTTACATCTGTACTCCTTTAATTAGTCGTTTAGCTTGTGGTGTTAGGCCCTGTGCTCAAGTTTTCAGTCCAGGCTCTTGAGAACCTAAATTTCGATAAATTGCCCAACATTAATTCATGTTAACAATAACTAATTAGGAAAGCTATAGTCTGAAACTTAAACTCACACCAGCCACAGCGCGTTCCCGTCAAATGTGTTACTTAGTCTACAGACTGCGTCCTTGTTTCATCAGCTCCTGTCGTTCAATAATTTATTTTTACAAAATGCCTTAAAGAAAGTAGTCAATCTTACATTGAACAGTTAGTTTTGCTGTGGAGTTGATGCTGTCTAGAAATTTTTCAGCTCTACATCTGTAAACTCCATTGTCTTCTGGTCTAACGCCCTTTATAATCAGAGCGCTACCGGTAGTCACGTGACGTCCAATGGGAAGTGATGAATTTACTTTGGACCACGTGACCTGTGGAGTTGGATTACCGTCCGCTACACATTTCAAGATGGCTGTTTGGCTTTCATTAACTGTTGTTCCAACAGGTCGCTGCAGCAGAGAAGGAGCCGAGATGGACTTTCCCGGTTCACCTTTGACGCCTTTCTGCCCCGGTAGGCCTCTAGGTCCCGTGGGACCAAGATCACCCGGTATTCCGGGATCCCCTTTCGGACCCATCGGTCCTTGAGGTCCTATTGGTCCATGTTTACCAGGAGGTCCCTCTGGCCCGGGTCTCCCTCGGGGACCTGGTCTTCCTCGGTATCCTGGTTTTCCACGTCGTCCAGTGTGACCTTTTGATCCTGACCGGCAAATTGTTTCATCTTTAGCACAGATTTGGTTTTGCATCAAACGAAGCTCTTCTTTGATTAGCAGTTTTACTTTAGAAACTGTTTGAACCAATCGCTGTTGTGAATTATGTGGCGAAGCTCGCTTTATTCTTAAGAAATCGTCTTTCCCATCTATTGATAAAAATTAAAGCAGTAATGAAAACGCCTCTCAACAGTGACTGACAAACATTTCTCGTAGTATGGGCATATTTTTGAAAAAGTAAAAAATGTTTGTTCAAGATAATGTGATGCTTCTGCTAATTTATGACAAACCTATATTGAGCGTCCAACCTCCATTTAGCGGCCTCTTACCGTTACCCTGAGGGTGGCCGCTTAAGATAAACACAACAACCTTGCATGCGATAGTGGCCAAGAAGCTACCTTTCGCTATTACTAGGGCCTATTTCATGTTTGTAAAAACCCATTTTCTGAGGGAACATCTCTAGCGACGAAGAATGTCTTGAAAATAATGACCGAAAACTATTGCGGTCGTCAAAACATGAATAACAACTTACGCCGCGCAAAACCTGACCTCGTATTTCTTGCCAATGACCTTCTGATTGGCCTTCCTTGTTAGCTTGCCAGTGTCCATAGCTCTGCGGTTGTAATTTCTTGAGTATTTTTGTCTCAATCTGATTACAGCTTGTTATTGAGTATGACATCAGTCGATGATGTCCCTGCATTCGGAGTTCAACGTGAATAAGTGCGATACAACTCACCACAGACAACAACAAAGCTGACCTGGAACACAACATGTCGAGTGCTTTCCTTCTCTTCTTTTTCGCTTTGCTTCATGGTTAAAATCGTTTTCACAGACGTGAGACGAGCCTACTTAACTTGGAAGGGCTTAGTGTTCTCGGACAAGGTACGTGTCTCAGTTCTAAGTCCTTTGAAAGAACGAAAACCGTCCTGGGACGAACATTAATTGTTGGAGTAGTAGACGTATGGAGGAGACAGATGGTGTAAATTCCAAAGACGATGTAATTAAACACTGCTTATACTGTAAGTGATATGATTATTAATAAATGAAAATCGAAAGTGTATGTAAATCGACTTCTTCTACAATAATATCTTAATAGCCATTTTCTAGCTATTCACGTTCATGTTTTGCCTTGTGTTCGAATTGAACAGAACAAGTAAGGAAGCATACAGAAAAATATTTGCTCAAAATGGTAGGAAAACAGCATATCTCAAGTGACCAATCGATCTTGCTTCATCCATGTTACCCTTCGGGTGTCTGCGTATTGTTATATAGCATCTGCCATTAGTGTTTTACTTTAGGTAAAATTTCACGCTTTATCTGATTCTAATTCCTTTAGGAACATTGATTCCGATGTATATTTGTCTCTTCTAGGAAAAAAAGGGGCCGGTATAGAAGGCACAATGAGGTACGCCGCCAGTAATGAGTGAAAATGCCATCAGTGGCTCTTAATATAGTATCAACAAGTTTAACCCCTGGCCAAGAAAAAAAAAAAAACGTGCGATCNGCCATTTTCTAGCTATTCACGTTCATGTTTTGCCTTGTGTTCGAATTGAACAGAACAAGTAAGGAAGCATACAGAAAAATATTTGCTCAAAATGGTAGGAAAACAGCATATCTCAAGTGACCAATCGATCTTGCTTCATCCATGTTACCCTTCGGGTGTCTGCGTATTGTTATATAGCATCTGCCATTAGTGTTTTACTTTAGGTAAAATTTCACGCTTTATCTGATTCTAATTCCTTTAGGAACATTGATTCCGATGTATATTTGTCTCTTCTAGGAAAAAAAGGGGCCGGTATAGAAGGCACAATGAGGTACGCCGCCAGTAATGAGTGAAAATGCCATCAGTGGCTCTTAATATAGTATCAACAAGTTTAACCCCTGGCCAAGAAAAAAAAAAAAACGTGCGATCGCATGAACTTTAAAATAGTCACGTCACCTTAAGTTCATACCGGCAATAACTACGATTGTCGAAGATTGCCCACATCGATCGAGTTATTCTTAGCGATCCAGAATATCCTAATGCTGCAACTCGATGACTAGAAATGTTTGTAAAATATGAATAGAATTGCCCTTTTCACGCGTTCAGTAATATCTTTTATTTATAAAAATAAATACTAAATAAATGACATGGTTAAAACGTATGAAAAAATGGCCTAAAAGAAAAGGTAAATGGAAACAAAAAGTGGAAAAGCAGCAAATTACATGAGTACCGTGATGTTTCAAAACTATTCGTGTAAGGCTCACAACCAGGAGTTTTTTAGCGACGCAGGTCAACAGTAAGATAACGTTTCGTATTCTTTGGCTTTGATTTTGCCCAATTTTCCTCCAACACTGGCCCTGTTCTCATTTAATCCGTCGCGACATTGTTGAACAGCAATTAAAAACAGTTTGAGGTTTTAGCCTTAGTCAAATGTTGAAAGTCTTGGAGAACTCAACAGTAATAGTAGTAGTTGTAGTGGTGGTAGGTTGCTGTAGAGGATAAGAAACCTGATATTTAGCTGCAAAGTGTACAAATGAGAAAACATGTGATGAGAAGTTTCTTGATGATCCATTTCTTTCCTCGTATCGATTTTCGGTGTCAAAGTCCTTGATCAAGCAGCCGTGAAAAGTCCTGCCCCAACAGCTTGCCTTGTTTTCTGTAGCTTGATGTCGAGCGTCTCTTAGGGCTGAAACAGAAAAAATGCTTGACTTAGTTAAGACCACAAACGAGCCACAGGGTGGCAGATTCTTCATCACTTCTTCTTCACAATGGATCGCCGGATGTAAGTGTACCGGAGTGTTAGCTCTAGCATTAGGCTGCCGGTATCCATTTTAACACCTGAGTGTAGAGATATACTAGACCAGGTCTGGCCCCTCAAGTTATGGTACCCATTTATACGCATACCTCACCGCAGAACAACGTTTCCGGATTTGTTATAAGGCACAAAAAGCGCTAATTATCATCCATCCTCACTCAAGGAAACCTTGTATCGCAGGATTGGCCTTCAAACAAAACAGTATTTCATATGAAGGAAACTTACCTCCTGTAACTGCCTTTACTTCCGTCTGTGTAACTGCTGGTGGAAGCTAAAGACGGCCTAAAAGATGAATCACGGTGAGCCCTACAGGTGAAAGAGAGATGACCTAAGTATAGTCTTCCATTTTTGTTTCTTCTTTTTGCGAGGCTAAGCGACAAGTGAACGCCATGGTTCGACAACTTCACACTAACAAATTTCAAGGACTTTTCAAGGACAAATTACTGTTTAAGGGCTACGATTTATTCAATAATTCGACATTCTTTAACCCCCTTTTGAACACATTATTGGCAAAACACGTCATGGAGTCATTTGCGATTTTTACTTCTTCAGCCATGGTTGATCACATTATTTTATACTACTTTCCGCAACAACGCTTTGTAAAATGACTGGGTATGACCTACAATTGCATCCGAGGTACAGAAACAGCATTTCAAATAAAGTAACAGAAGTAAGATATTGCTCATGCACAAAAATGTTTTTAGACAAAGTAGTGAATTTTAAGGATTTGTCAAGATCTAATAAAGAAATCAAGTACTTTTCAAGGACCTTAACCGAATTCAAGGACTTTTCAAGAGAGCCACTAAAATTCCGAACCTTTTCAAGATTTTACGAACCATGGAACGCGTGTTGGCGTTGCGTAAGTGTGAAAAAGCGTGGGGGCTGGGGTGGGGGAGGGCCTCTGGCGGGGACTTGGCCAAGGGTGGCTGGTGGCAATTTCCAAATGGAAAATACGCATTTAAGTTTGAGCGTTTCGTTTACAATACAAACTCAGGGGCACTCAGACAAGGATAGAAAACTGTTATTGAGATGAATTGTGTATTACATTTGTTAAGCGTGGTGAATAAGGACACTCCTTGTAAACTGTTAAGAGAGTGTCTCTGTAAGAGCGGTCCGGTCGATTTTGCTTGAGACACAGATTTAGCTCATTTCTTGTGTGTTGTAAGACTTTCATGTACCTACACTAAAACCACAATCCGTTTGATCGGATCTCTTTATTTTTCAGAGTTTTACGGAAATTAAATTTCACTCGAGCGAAGGCCTGTCGTGACACTTTTCAAGACGTTAATTTGAGGCCACTTTGGCGGACAATTTACAACAAACTACGGG